GTGTCTGAGGAAGTGGGGTCTCTGTCATTAGAAGGATCAGGCAGCAGTATTTGGCGGATTCCCCTCTCGGGGACGGTCAGTTCAACACTGTTCACGTCGGTTGAGTACCTACTATGCACTGTGATGGGACCGGGTAAGAGGACACAAAAGCAGATGTTCTCATGCCTTTGCCTAAATACTATCATGTGATTAGGGCTCTGGCAAAGCTATGGGCAAGGGTGACGGGAGGGAGAAGGAGGGAGAGCTTCCCAGAGGAGGTGACCCTGGTCTCCCAAGTGCAGTAGGACACTCTGAAAGAATTCCTAAGTAGGGGCGCCTGGGTGGCTCAGTCGGATAAGCATCTGACTTAGGCTCAGGTCATGATCTCGAGCCCCGCGTTGGAATAACATTCAGCTGAAATACAATCTGGAACATTCTCTCCATAAGCTATGGAATGCTCTCCAAGATCCGTTAAGAGGAAAAAGCATGGTCTCGACACTGTGCATGGCAAACTACCGTTTGAATTTTTTAAACGGGGTTTGGTGAGTTAAGAACACACACACACACAGGGTTTCATTTGCATAATACCTTATACCTCTCGCCTAGTAACACAGGTTGCTTTTGAGACAGGAAGTGGCTGGGAAACAGGTGTGGGAAAGAAACTGTCTGGCATGCCCTTCTGCATCCTTAGATTCTTAACTGCGTGAGTGAGTTGCCGATTCAAAATAAAATTAAAATTAAAATTAAAATCTTAAAGGCACCTGCCTATTTCAGCATGTTTTCCTGGAGTGCCTTCCTCAGCTTTTTCCTCTGTGTTCACTTCCCTCCATTGAACCAGGGCTTGTGGGCAAGCCTTCCTCTCCCCAGGAGGCCGCCCTGGGGCGCTTATATTTCTTTCTGCCTCTCTCCCCAAGGTACGCGTCATCGAGACCAATTTTTCTTAAACATTAACGTCCATTGATGCAATCAACGAGCTATCTTGTAAAAATGCAGATTCTGTTTCAGTCGCCTGTGGTGGGCACCAAGAGTCTGTATTTCTAACCAGCTCCCTTGTGGAGCCAATGCTGCTCGTCTCAGACTACACTCTGAGCAGGAAGGGTCTAGAGCTCTGTGTGCTGCACGATGAAGCTCATGGTTGAAGCACTGAGAGGTCTCGAGAAGCTATTCTGCTCCAGAGAAGGGAAGGGATAGGATACTGGAGATTCTGATGGAGACAGGCACGTCGATCCCTGAGCCCCTTAGTCAGCACTGCCAACAGAGTAGGGACCACTGACCGTCGCCCGGGGTTTCCATTCCCACCCCCCACTCTCTTGCCTGGAGCACAGATGGACTCCCACTGCTTCCATTGAAGGGAAGCCCAGATAGCAGGTGGGACCAAATGGTGCCTGGAAGGGAAGGGAGGCAGCTGGAGGGGAAGATGCACCCACGAGAGACATAAATGCCTTTCTTCTCTCTTTCTTTCTTTTTTTTTTTTCTTTTTTATAGTTTTAATGTTTACTTATTTTTGAGACAGGGAGAGAAAAACAGAGTGTGAGCAGGGGAGGGTCAGAGAGAGAGGGCTAATCCGAAGCAGGCTCCGGGCTCTGAGCTGTCAGCACCGAGCCTGATGCAGGGCTCAAACCCACAAACCACAAGATCATGACTTGAGCCGCACCCAACGGACTGAGCCACCCAGGCGCTCCTCTTTCTTTCTTTTTTTTTTTTAAAGTAAACCCTATCCCCAACATGGGGCTTGAACTCACAACCCCAAGATCTAGAGTCGCATCCCTTTTTTATTTCTGATGGGCTAATGATGGTGGCTGCGGGCCACCCCCTCTCTCAGGCCCTCCCTGAAAATTCAAAAGCCAAACCAAACCTCCTACAAAAAACGAGACCAGACAGCATTCGGCACAGCCTTCCTTCCCGGTGAAAAGCAGCTGTCTTGGATCCAGGTGTGGCGGCACCACCTGCTCTGGCAGAAAGCGGATCGCCCTCCGACGGAGGTCTCTTCACTTGCCCAGGATGAGAACTGACCTGTGAACCTGGAACCCAGGCTGCTGAACGCCCCCCCCCCCATCGCACCCCTTGCCCCAGGGGACAGGGTAGTTTCCTAGGCCACACATGTGGATTTCCCTGATGAGGCATCCTTCTGTATGACAAAATCCTGCTTCTGCCATTGCCAGAGAGAAAGGAGTATGGTGTAAGTTCTGGAGGGAAACCAACAGGCACATTCCCTCGGGCTGACCTCACCCCTGCCTGGAGCACTGCCCCCTCACCCCAGTGACCGCTGGAGAAGAGCCAGGAGAGGCACCCCCTCTCCCCATATCACCCCCACCCACCCTTGACCATGCCTGAAATTGCACCGTGCACGTTCATTCTTTGAGGATGAGAAATTGCATCTCTTAAAATACTCCCACCCACAGGACAGGTAATACATGAAGCTGTTATCAGTCATCTACACCTTAATGTGAATTAGTTGATTGGTCCTGGAATGTTTCACCGGGAATGGGCCTGGTCCAATCCCTCTTATTACAAGTGAGGAAGACCAAAGCCCAGAGTGGCGGTGACTACTGAAGGTCAAGCAACAAGGTGGTGGCCACATCCTGGCCGGGAAGAGGCTTGAGGGAAGGATTGTTTGCAGGTGGCGGGGCAAGAGGAAAAACCCCAGTATCACCGAGAGGAACCGGCGCACCCTCAAGGCTGTGCTTTGGAGACTAACTCAGCCCGTATCAACCTTTTCCCCCATGCGAAGGTAGGAGGCAGAAGCAGAAGCGTGCCTCCACCCCACCCCACCCTTGAACATAAAACTTCTTTGAAGTTTATCTTAGAGTTCATTCAGATGCAACAGTCTGCTCTAAAGTATATTCTGGTTTGTTTTCACATAAAAATAGTAGAGAGAATAAACTGGTGGTTGCCAGAGGGGAGGTTAGAGGGGGGATGGGCAAAAGAGGTGAAGGGGATTAAGAGGTACAAACTTCCAGCTATAAAATAAATGTTAAAAAGGTTTAACACAAAATATTCTTTATTATTTTTTTTTTAATATTTTTATTTATTTCTAGGAGAGAGAGAGAGACAGCGTGAACAGGGGAGGGTCAGAGAGAGAGGGAGTCACAGACTGAAACAGGCTCCAGGCTCTGAGCTGGCAGTCAGCACATAGCCCGACGCGGGGCTCGAACCCACGAACCTCGAGATCATGACCTAAGCGAAAGTCGGACGCTTAACCGACTAAGCCACCCAGGCGCCCCTTCTTTATTATTTTTAATGCTTTATTTATTTTTGAGAGAGACAAAGAATGAGCGGGGGAGGGGCAGAAACAGAGGGGGACGGAGGATCCAAAGCAGGCTCTGCATTGACAGCAGAGAGCCTGATGTGGGGCTCGAACTCACCAACCGTGAGATCATGACCTGAGCCAAAGTCGGATGCTTTAACTGACTGAACTACCCAGGCGCCCTAAAATATTCTTTAAATGGTGAGATTTAGAGACGCCTGGACGGCTCGGTCGGTTGAGTGTCCAACTTCGGCTCAGGTCATAGTCTCATGGTTCATGGCTTTGAGCCCTGCATCAGGCTCTGTCTTGGCAGCTCAGAGCCCGGAGCCTGTTTCCAATTCTCTGTCTCTGGCTCTCTCTGCCCCTCCCCCACGCACTCTCTGTCTCTGTCTCTGTCTCAAAAATAAATAAACATTAAAAACAAACAAACAAATAAATAAATGGCGAGATTTAAAGGACCACCTAGGTGGCTCAGTCAGTTAAGCAACGGGCTTCAGCTCAAGTCATGCTCTCGTGCTCGGTGAGTTCAAGCCCCTCCTTGAGCTCTGACAGCACAGAGCTCTGTCTCCCTCTCTCTCTACCCTTCCCCTACCACTCTCTCTCTCTCTCTAAAAAATAAATAAACATTTAAAAAATAAGTAAATAAATGGCAAGACTTATTTAGTCAGATAGCATTTTCCACTTGCCAGGTAGGCTGAGATCGAAGCTTGTATTTCTGAGGAGGAAACTTAGCTGGCTGCAATGGGGTGAGGAAACTTCTCACTGTATCCCCTTTGAACCTTTCTTTTTTTTTTTTTTTTAATAATCTTTACCCACAATGTGCAGTTTGAATTCACAACCCCGAGATCAGGAGTCTCATGCATGCTTCACCAACTGAGCCAGCCAGGCAAACCTCCCCTTTGTACCTTTTAAACTTTGCCAACTGCAAATATTACCTAGTCAAAAAAATGAATAAAATTGAAACTTGAAAATGTAGGTGGTCTGGGGTATGGGGAGACAGACTTTTTTGCTCATATCTTTTGCATGTTGGACCATCGTGGTATTTACCCATGTTAAACGTGCACCCCTTTCCCCAACAATGTCAGCCATGGGGATCGAGCCCACACCTCAGGGTAAAAGGCACACAAGCATATTCATGGCTCTATCATCTGTGCTCTCCCTCAGAGGCTGACCTGAGCATCTAGTTGTCTCTGAAGACCTTGCTGACACTAAACAGGAGCTAGACTGTGTCCTTTGCAGTCTGGTGACCTTCGCACACCACCTCTTAAAGAATCGCTCAGTGCACAGTAGTAAAATAACAACAGGGGTGCCTGGGTGGCTGAGTTGGTTAAGCATCTGACTTAGGCTCGGGTCATGATCTCACGGTTCGTGGGTTCGAGCCCCAGACCTGACTCTGTGCTGACAGCTCAGATCCTGGAGCCTGCTTCGGATTCTGTGTCTCCCCCTCTCTCTGCCTCTCCCTTTCCCCGGCTCATGCTCTGTCTCTCTCTAAAATTAATAAATGTTAAAAAAAAAATTTAAAAACAACACCAACAACAGCTGCTGCCTACCAAGTGCTTGATTTTGCCTGGCTCTGTTATACTGCCAATACCTTCCGGGTCACAGCCACTTCGTGAACTGGCTCTTCTCCCCAGCCGTGTGGTAGACAAGGACATGAGGGCACGTCAGTGCTGACCTTGCCCACAGCCACGCTCCCTAACTCGGCCGTGGCAGACAGAAGATTCGAACCAGATACACATGCATACATACCAGCTACCATTTATTAAGCACCTGCTGTGTGCTGAGCCGCTGTGCTAGTCGCTTGGTGATGTTTTTCCGAGGTCATCTCATAGTCCTGTGTTGGGTGCAAGGGGTGATGGGAGTTAGGGGTGTCACTGAGGGAACCATCCCTGCCCTTAAGAAGCTGATAATACGTGTAAGAAGATGACAACAACGATCCTTCCCTTTCTGCAAAACGTCACGGTTTTCAAAGCCCTTTATCTATCTCATTTAATCTCCTTGACAATCTTGCCAAATAATTTTCATGATCTCTGCTCCGGGGTGAGGAAAGCAAAGCTCTCCCAGTCACATGGGATTTGCCCCCAAGATCATCCAATCAGCCAGGGGAGGGGCTGGAACCTGACCTCAGGTCTCATGACTCGTCTCTGCGAAAAGGGAGGAAGGGGGGGTGACATGCTGCCTCTACCGCCCAGATCCGTGGTTTCCAACCTGCTCTAACACGAGGACTCCTCCCCCCCCATCCCCACCCCTTTGGAAATTGTCGCAATCCTGCAAATGAATGGAGCTGTTATTTAGGGTTTTAGTCAACCGGAGAAATTCACAGTGGAAAAATGACCAGGGAAGCAGCACAGTTATACCCAGACATTACTTATACAGTCGGCAGACGATGTTTGTAGTACAAACAGACACAGAGACTTCTTGCAATAACCCTGCAGCCGTGAGCAGGCAGCCCCTGGCTGAGGCCCACTGACCGAGGAGTTCAGAGGAGGACAGGTCTCCCAAGCCCATCTTCTCGATCAGAGCAAGGTTGGGGGGGGGGTGTAAGCGCCACAAGTCAATGGGATTGGCAGAAAGTGGCGTGGGGGGAGCGTTGGCAGCAAAGGGGCTTGGTGAGGGCAACCGGTCAGTGGGGAGACCCACAGGGCTTGTATGCGTATTTCTTTTGGAGGAAAAGCTTAATTCTGGATGCCCAAGAGCCGTTAGAGCAGTTGGGATAAGAAGCAGACCAAACATTAAAAAAAGAAAAAATTGTGAGTTCGAGCCCCAAATCGGGCTCTGTGCGCTCAGCTCAGACCCTGGAACCTGCTTCAGACTCTGTATCTCACTCTCTCTGCCCCTCCCTTGCTAACGCTCTGTTTCTCTCTTGCTCAAGAATAAATAAACTTAAAAAAAATTTTTTTTTTTAAAGAAGCAGACCAGAAGTGGAGAGGGTGACCTGGAAGAGAGATCATGCAAGAGGTTTGAACTTGCCGTGACATTACCTTTCGTGAGACAAGGAGAACATCCAAGGCGGTAGCAGTGGGTCTTCGCTTGCTACTGAGTGTCCCCCGCCCCAGGCCATACCACTGCCCGGTGCACCCATGTCCGGGCTGGTCAGACAGGCTGCCCTGCGTGCCCTTGACTATGTAGAAGGCCTCCCTGCTTGGCCATCACTCACCTTGCCAGGATCTGGTCGGCGCATGAGGCTCATGGATGTTAGAACGCAGAGGCCCAGGGGCTTGTCCCAGCTCTGCAGCGACCCTGTAAGACATTACACTTCTTAGGGGGTCAGTTTCTTCGCCTGTAAAATGGAAGTAACAATAGTACTTGCCTGTTACTATTTCGAGGATTAAGCACATGTGCAAATGTTAAATACTGAGAACAGAGCTGTCCTAGAACAAAAGCTTGAAATTATTCCTATGAAAAAGCCATTAGTGGGACACCTGGGTGGCTCAGTTTGTTGAGTGTCTGACTCTTGATTTCGGCTCAGGTCCTGATCTCATGGCTTGTGGGATTGAGCCCTGCCTCAGGTTCAGCAATGACAGTGTGGAGCCTGCTTGGGATTCTCTCCCCCTCTCCCTCTGCCCCTCCCCCTTCATGCTCTCTCTCTCTCTCAAAATAAATAAACACTTAAAAAAAAAACTTTAGGGGCGCCTGTTGGCTCAGTCAGTTAGGTGTCCAACTTCGGCTCGGGTCATGATCTCACAGTTTGTGAGTTCAAGCCCAGAGTCAGGCTCTGTGCTGACAGCTCAGAGCCTGGAGCCTGCTTCAGATTCTGTGTCTCCCGCTCTCTCTCTGCTCTTCCCCCACTCCTCCTCTCCCTTTCTCTCTCTCTCAAAAATAAATAAACATTTAAAAAATACTTTAAAAAAGCCTTTTTCATAGGAACTAATCACTCTTCTCCCCTGCACACTTGCCTATCCAAGCTCTTCTGACACTTTTTTTTCACTTACTTGCCTGTTTATATTTGATTCTTGACATTAAACTGTAAACACCTGGCACATCATAGACATTTATTAAGCATGGAAGGAAGGGAGGGAGGGAAGGAGAGAAGGAGAGAGGAAAAAGGGTCCTAACTACAAAAACTTAAAAATTTTATTATGGAACGAGGTTGGCTCAGTCTGTAGAGCATGGATGGGACTCTTGACCCATCGTGCGTTCAAGCCCCGTGTTGGGCATAGAGCTTACCTAATAAAATAATTAGTTTACTGTGGAAGGTCATCAAAGTGAAAAGAAACTATACAATCCTCATCTGTAGGCATATCTTAAAACGAAGCTCTGGGAATGGAGTTTGCAAAAATCACCTAAGTTGCAATCCCCGCGTCCATGGAACTGGCAATCTATGTTGGGTGGTGGGACGTGCCAGGTGAAAACTAGCTGTAGAACAAGGTTGTGGTACTTGCCAGCCAAGGGATCAGCAGCAGCCCCGGAAGGCCACAGCTGGGAGAGGGCAGAACAATATGGGTGAGTCACGAGTGTGTGTGTCGTCCTTGCTCAAGGTAAAATAAGACTGTTGGGTAACAATAGGAAAATGTCACAAAGCAGGATGAGCCAGCGCATGTCCCTGATTGGTGGGCACAGCCTTGGGTGTGGAGGAGGGAGACAAAGAGAAGGCTTTTTGCTGGGGGTCAGGGCAGGCGTGGTGATACAGCGGGATCGAAGTCCAGAGTCCGAGCCCTTCCAGAGCACCTACTGGCTTAGAACCTCAGCTTTTTATCTTCCCTGTGTGGTGAGCTCTTCTAGATGTTGGTTTCTGATAACTTTTTTATTATTATGCAAGTAACACGCTTTCATAGAATAAGGAGGAGCCAGAAGAGGGTTAGGAGACGGAAAAGAAAATACAGAGAACCAAAGAGGAAAACTAACCTAAAGTCCCACCCCGCCCCCAAATCACTCCGTATTTTGGTGCCTGCCCACCCACCCTTTATTCACCCTTTCACTCACCCATTCATCCATCCGTTTTGCACCCACCCACCCTTCAACCTACCCACCCATCCACTTGTTCATTCATCTATCCATCCATCTGTATCAGAATTCTTAGTTACAAACAACAGAATCCGCTCTAACTGAAAAGGAACTTATCTCTCTTTTTTTGATGATTTTTTCAGTTTTTATATATATATAAACTGAAATATAAACTAAAATATATATATATATATTAATGTTTTAATTTATTTCTGAGAGAGAGAGACAGCTTGAGCAGGAAGGGTCAGAGAGAGAGGGAGACACAGAATCTGAAGCAGGCTCCAGGCTCTGAGCTAGCTGTCAGCACATAGCCCGAAGTGGGGCTCGAACCCATGAACCGTGAGATCATGACCTGAGCCGAAGTCAGATTCTTAACTGACTGAGCCACCAAAGCACCCCTCAGTTTATATTTTTAAATTATTTTTTCAATGTTTATTTTTGAGAGAGAGAGAGAGAAACAGAGTGCAAGTTGGGGGGGGCGGGCAGAGAGAGAGGGAGACACAGAATCTGAAGCAGGCTCCAGGCTCTGAACTGTCAGCACAGAGCCCAACATGGGGCTCGGACTCACAAACCACGAGATCATGACCTGAGTCGAAGTCAGATGCTTAACTGACTGAGCCAAGGAGCCCCTTTTTCAGTTTATTTTGAGAGAGAGAGCACAAGTGGGGTGGGGGCTGGGGGGAGAGGCAGAGAGACAGGGAGGGAGAGAATCCCAAGCAGGTTCTGCCCTGTCAGCACAGAGCCTGATGGTGGGGCTCTATCTCCAGGACCGTGACATCATGACCTGAGCCGAGATCCAGTCAGATGCTTAACCGACTGATCCACCCAGGTGCCCCTAACAGAAAAGGAACTTGTGAAAACAACATTCAGTAGCTCACAAAATCCAGAAGGGAAGATAGGCAGAGACTCAGAATTCAGGCATGATGCCCAAACCACCTAGGGGTACTTTTCTAGCCAAGCCACCAAGGCAGCTATTGGCATAAATTCTGCAACTTGCCTCAACTCACCCCCTGCAACAATGGTGGGAATTGGACCTCAGACCATTCCTCCTGTTGCTCCGAAGGCCAGACGCCTCCTCTAAGTCCCTTCCCCAGGACACCTGCTTCCTGTTGTCCTCTTCCAAATCAAAACCTCACGTGGAACCTAGGCCACATGCCTTTCCAACCTTAGTTGCAAAGGAGTCTGGGAAAGTAAATTTCTGGCCTTCAGTGAAGCGAGATTTATGATCTAGGGAAAACCCACAAACACAAGAAAGTTAATCAAAAGATACATACTGGTGACCTTAATGCAGGGCAAATGTCCCCTGCACTAAGCATTATCTTTCTTCTTACAAATATAGAATGATATCAATGATTCTCTGAATCTCCAGTCCCTGGCACACTATAGGCACTCAATGCATGAGGAAGGAAAGGAGAAAGAGAAGGGAGAGATTACATGTTTACATGCTGCCTTACGAAACAAGATTGAATGAAAACTTTATGTTTAGAGAGTCCATACAACTCCCAAGGCCTTCTCTGGATTATGAAGGAAATTCTCTTGCCCAGCACGTTAGTACGAAACTGTCCCCCCCCCCCCCCCCCCCCCCCCCCCCGTCAGGCTTGTGCTCTGGCCATGGCGTGCAGCATCTGGACCCCAGGGAACGCTGTGTCCTGAGGAGTCACTTTCTCCATCCATAGTCCACCTGTTGGCTTAATGTCACTCAGGCTGATGCAGAATCTTCTCCTGTCCCCAATCCCAGAGTTTCATGAGGTTTTAAGTAGTCTCTGAAGGCCAATCTAAAACAGTTGCTGCAAAGGCAACATTAGAGGCCTCCCAGGGTGATAAAATCACTGGCACCGCTTTCAGGCAGATCTGTGAAAATCAGTCTTGTTCTTCATGGTCAAGGTGTGCCTTCACAGAATTATATGTGTCCTGCCTTTTAGAAGTTTATACTGTACTTTAATTGTTAAGAGGCAAGATACATGCACTTAAATGACAAGCTCTCTTGCTGCCAAATAAGGTAGGAAACCATCCCTATTCCCAGGGCGTGGGGACGGCCAGGCCCCACAGGCTGTGAGAGGAGGCTGCTGAGAAGGGGAAGGGCTGGGGATGGAGTGGTCAGGGCACTGGCTTGGGGCTCACAGCAACCTGCATTCTTCCCTAACCCCTTCAAAGCAGGTCAGACCCTGTATCTTCAATGGCTATAGCATCGCCTACCCCTCTTTATGGCTGAATTTCCTTTAGGGAGTTATCTGGTTGTTGTCTGCTCCCTCCCCTCCACCATGAGCTGGTTGTGGTGCCCTAGGGAGGTGCTGGGTGGGCAGAGGCTGGTGAGGACCAAGGCAGGGCGAGGCTGCAGGGAGGGTGAGGCTGAGACCCATCACAAAGACAGTCTGAAGCCTCCCCTTCACACTCCTTTCCCCCAGGGAGGAGCAGCTGATGCGTTTCTGGAGTGTTCCAATCCAATTAGTGCCCTCCCCTGCTCCAAGGAGGGGCCCAAGCCACCACTCCCCTCCCTGAGGTGGAGACGGGATGGGGAGGGGGTACTGAAGAGGTCTGAACACCCTGACCCAGCTCCTCCTGGCAGCGCGGCTGGCTCGCCGCTACTGAGAGGCTGCTATGACAGCGCCCGTTTCTAGGCGACTGTTCTGGGGAATGGTCTGTTTTGGCAACCGGAGGGCCCCTGGGTAAAGGGGGCCCGCAGCCCGCGGCACATTTGCATAGCAACCTCCTCCCCTCCCAGAGCTGCTGGCTGCTCGGCGGCGCTCCGCGGGGCGGTCGGCTCGGGCTCCAGTCCTTGCCCTCGGCCCCGGCCGCCTGCCCAGCCCCGGGCCCGCCCTGCGCTGTCACCGCAGCATGGCCCCCTCTCACTTCCCGGGGAGGTGGAGGCTGCTTGCTGAACTGGGGCATTTCCGGAAAGGCTAGTGCCCTAGGGAAGTGGGGGAAATGATGCTTGGGAACAAAACACAGAAATGGGGGTGGGGGCAGGGAGGGAGAGGGGGGAGGGGATGAAATATGTATATTTTTTTACAAATCAGAGTCAAAGTCACATGGCTTGGTAGCATCAAAATGCATTCTGGATATCAGGGGGGGCTCACAAAATGTTTCTGTAGGTGAACCCTCAACTAAGCCCTCGGAGGTGCTCAGATAATGTCTTTGGGGTCCTTATATTGCAAGCGTATATGTGAATATGGAAATGGGTAAGCCTGGAAAAAAATATTTCTTATCTAGAAAAGTCAGGGGGTGATATTCTTAGGAAATATTTTCAAAAATTCGCAGGAGGAACTTGGCGACGTAGTATTATCTATGTAGTTTCCGAAGAAACCGAAAGGGAAAATAAATAACTCCTGGAGGCCCCCCTTCTGTCCTGCACATGTCCACCCCACCCCAACTACATCTGCTATCTGGAGTCCGTGATGCCAACTGAGATACCAGGCTCTGAACACACAGACATTAACTGCCCAAGGACACATGCCCCGGGCTGGAACCCGAGAAGGGGGTTGGGCAGAGGCAGGTCACCTCAGCTGAGCGATCACATTCCCTGGCAGCTGTCCAAGGGGCAGCTCTGGCTGCACCTGTTTGTGGGGAGATTTGCTTTTATCAGTATTGACACAGCGCAGGGCCAGGGAATAACATAGTAATAAATAAATGAAAGAGGGAGAGGAAAAAAAAGGGGGGGGGGGACCAGGAGCCACCGAGGCGAGGCAAAAATGCTGAGGTCTTTTTTTGCTTGTTGTATGTCAGCGCGTTCCATCCAGTTTCCCCACCCCTGAAATCTCCGAGGATCACGGAACAGCCTTGGCATGGGAGCTCTGGGTCTTAAAGAGATAGAATTGCAGATCGGAAGCACCTTAAGATACGTTTGGTGCCAGTCTCCCTAACCTACAGATCTCAAGGTTACTGGGTATCCTCACCTGCGTAGAATAATTCGTCGGTATATATACAGTTCACTTCGTAGCTGTTATTATGTATCAGCTTCCCATCAAGTTTTTTTTCAGAAATATCCTTTCCTCCCCATAAAAAAAAATAAAAAATAATAATAAAGAAAAGAAAAAGGTGAGGGGAATCTGGTCTGTTCCAGAAATGGCAAAGGGAATGAAAGCTTGAAACAGTCTTTGTCTCCAAACAGGGGCCAAACGTGACCCCTTAGTTTCTCAGGCTTGCTTCCAGGGGCTGCAAAGCACCTCACTTCCAATCTAGTCCAAAACAGTGCAGTCAGTGGGTAGCAAACAAACCTGTGTCATCAGGTTTGTATCATCAGAAGATACCCTGACCAAGCCCAGCAATAAACTGCATTTGTAAAAATTACTTGCAGTGAGTCATTACCACGTTTAAGACCAGGAGGTAGTTTCTGCAGAGAGCAGGCTAGTGTAGCAGTGAAGACGGCAGCCTGAGCTGTCAGACCACTGGACTCTAACCCCAGCCTTGGCATCTGCTATTCATGGGCCTGTGACAGCTTATTTAACTTCCATAAGCCTTGCTTTCCTTATCTGTAAAATGGGCATAATAATGCCCCATAGGCTTGTTGTGTCCACGGAATGCATGAAAAGCATGTAGTGAGTGCATGACACAGAGAAAGTGCTTAATCTTGTCAGCACTTGTAGTCATTGCTGTTTGACGAATGAGGCCAGGGACTGTGTCATATATTCATCCCTGTATCCCCAGATCCTCAAACAAAGGCTGGCATTTAGTCGAGTACAGTAATGTTTGACGAATGAATGAATGCAAGGCCCCTGCCCTCAAGAAGTTAAAACTACCCAGAAAATAGAAAACATAAACTACCTA